ACATCTTTATTTCCATCAAAGCACCTCTTTTTCTTTGTAAGTATGTGGTTCAGTTTTATTATCCACCCCTACACCCCAACATAACACAAACTTCTTGAGGAGAATGGCTGTCCTGTTCACTCTGCATCCCTGTCACCTAGCATAGAGCCTCAGTGCTCCTTAAATACTTGAGGAATGAGAGACAAAACTACGATATGATCAAAACATTGAACAGAATGTGTAACCATACGTGCTAAATGGGCCAGCCCTAGAGCCCAGTGGGTAAGGGAGCCAGATCCCAGATGGCCCTGGTAGACTGAAAAATGCATGGGGCATGTGTGCGTACATGCCTCAAATCCTGACAAGATGGAGAGACAAGGGATTGAGACTAGACCAGGCCCCACTGGGGGTTACTTTCTATTTCTCTCCTCTTCCTAGCCACTCCCTCCCACCCCCTTTCTGTCTCTGGCAGACCAGTAGATGGTGTTAATGGTTAAGACACTAGCCTCTTACAGAGTTGACCACAGTACAAGTCCCGAACCCGGGACTTAAAACTCACACAAGGCACATAGAGAATGGAGGTGAAGGGATTGTGGTGTGGCCATCCCTCTGAGGGGTGAATTCTCATTTTCTGTCTGTCTCTCCAGCAAGCTCAAGTGCCCTATAGCAAAAATCTCTTAAAAAAAACAAAACAAAGCGCTGAATGAACACAGTAATTTAAATTTTATTAACAGGAAACAATCATATTTAAAGGACAACTCAGCCACACCAACAACTCTGAAACTCTGGAGACTTTAGCTCCCATGTGATTTTTTTTTTTGGGGGGGGGGCAGGGGGAAGAGGCCTTTTAACTATAGGGCTCATGCACGTGCTGGAGACACAGACACACAGAAAGCAAGAAATCACCACCCCCCCACCCCCCAGTGGGAATAGCCATGCCACAATCCCTTCTCCTCCATGCTCCTTGGGATGTTTTGGGCACGCACACACACGTGCCTGGCATCAGTTTTAAGCCACCCAGTCCAGGACTTGAACCATGGTTGACAATGTAGGAGTCCAGCGATGTAACCATTAATGCCATCTGCTGGTCCCACACACGCTCTGATCATTCCCAGAATAAGGAATTTTATAGGGAATTGTCTCTCCACTAGACTGAGTTCAAAGAACAGAATGATTTTAGTGCTTCTATACCAGAGATGGCAATAGAAGCTAGATAAACACGAACAAAATCTGGCACTAGCAACTCTGAAAAACAGAATTTCATCTAACCACATCATGAAATCAGCAAAATGGGATTCTAAGTACTATAGCTTAAATGCTTGTCCCCCTCCAAAACTCACACTGAAATTTAATTGCCATATTAAGAGTATTAACATGGCAATGTACACTGTAAGAATGTACAATGAAGGCCAGCAGGAGGCATGGTGATAAGGCACTTGACTTACACATGGCCCATAACAGTCTGAGTCCCAGATCTGGTGGTGGCTTGCTTTCTTACTTTCCCTCTTTCTGGTCAAATTTAAAAAACAAATAATGATAATGAATAAAATTTAAATAAAATAATTATTTTAGGGGCCAGCAGATGGCATGGTGGTTAAGGGCGCTGGACTCCCACATGGCCGATCACGGTTCAAGTCCCAGATGTGGAGGCTTGCTTTCTCACTTTCCCTCTCTTTCTCTCTCTCTTGCTCTGTTCCTCTCTGGTCAAATTAAAAAATAAATAAATAAAGTTAATTAAAATAATTCTTTTTTAAAAATGTGCAATGATTAAATTAAATTTTTTAGAGGTTTTTCTAGCCTTAGGGCATGTGCACTCACCAGAGAGAGAAATAGACACAGTGAGAGGGAAAGTGGGAAGTCACCCCCCCCCCAGGAGGGATGGTCACATCACAATCCCTTCTCCATTCTCCTCCTGAGATCTTAGGCAAGCATGCATCTGTGCACCCAGTGTGATTTTCAAGCTAAAAGGTCTGGTACTTGAATCACAGTCTACCATGTGGGAGTCCTGCGACGTAACCGCTACACCATCTGCTGGTCCCAGTGCAAATTTTTTATAAGGACAGAAAAAAAAAAAAATTCAATAATCCAAACTAAGCCCTGTACTGTAAATCAGAGTTTTGTTTTAGATGGATTTAAATAAAGGTATTGTTCATTTATTCCATGAAGAGTAACTTCCCAAATGCCCCTAGTACAGTTTGGTTTCATTTTGTGTGCACAGTCTACACACACACAGTCTATTATGTTCACATATTTCAACAACATATCGTCATCCAATAGAAGTATACAGTATTAATCAGAATGTGTCCATAAAAGCTGCTTTAAGGAATAAAATAACATCTTTCAAGATTGAAACACACTATTTATATCATTTGTGCTTTCATATCACTGTTCAGGCAAAATTCAATCATTAACTTGCAAAGTAAGTAAAAGTATTTCCTTTTAAAATAAAACCATTTCTTTATTATAGATCATAGCTTTTTTTTTTTTTTGGAGAGGTTTTTGCTATAGGGCGCGTGTGCTCGCCAGACAGACAGAGACAGAGAGACACAAAGCGAGAAATCACCCCCCAGAGGGGATGGCCACGCCACAATCCCTTCTCCTCCATTCTCTTCTCAGGATCTTGGGCACGCATGCACACGCGCCCGGCGTGAGTTTAAGCCACCGGGTCTGGGATGCGAACCACGGTTGACTACTTGGGAGTCCAGCGACATAGCCATTACGCTTACTGCTGGTCCCAGATCATAGCTTTTAAAGGTCATTTTGGCCGAGTAATGACTTATCTTTTAAATAAAAAGCTGAAAAGTTAAAGAGGGGGATAAAAAAGAAAACCACTGGTATTTTTCAGTTGAATGGTGAAAAAATTTAACTGCAGAGGGTTAAAAGAATGGATGTGGTATACATGGGAGGTGATTAGTAGAGGCTACTCCTTTGACCAGAAAAGTGATTAGAGCTAGGGTAGAAATGAGCTCCAATAAAGTACATAAAGGTTTGTTGACTGTAAGGGAGACTCATGTGCATTTAAAGGCAAAGGGGAAAGAGCCAATGTAGTGGGTGAGAGGTCAGATTTCATTCCACGAAATGGCACAGAAAACTGCAAAGCCTGCTAAAACAAATTTTCATGGATCAGTAATGATAATTCAAGCAACAGCCAATATAACTTATTCCGCATTAAATAAAATGAATGCCATGTGTCATATGCTGTATAACTTACAGGTTCATTTTCTTCCTGAGAAACACTTGTGTTTGATTGTAAATTCTTAAACCTTAAATTAATGGGAACCAGCAGTTAGCATAATGGCTATGTCTCTGGACTCCCACGTAGTCGACCACGGTTCACGTCCCGGACCCAGTGGCTTAAAACTCACGCCAGGCGCCTATGCGTCCGTTCCCGAGATCCCGAGAGGAGAATGGAGGAGAAGGGATTGCGGCATGGCTGACTGGAGCGTGGCCATCCCCCCTGGAGGGTGATTTCTCTCTGTCTCTATGTCTCTCTCTGTCTGGCGAGCGCACATACCCTATAGCAAAAAGCTCTCCCCCCAAAAAAGAAAAAAAAAAAAAAACTTACATTAAGAAAAAGCTGCACTTACTTTCTTTCAAGGTATCTAGAGTATCTGGTTCACCGAATTCAACTAGCTAACACTGGTTGAAACCCAAGCCAATCAATCTAATTACATTTTCGTGATTCCTGGAGTTACCTAACAGCGAAACTAACAAATAGGCTGACCGAGAAGTCATCTTTCCCAGAAACCTATAATTTCTGACTTTTCTGTTATCTCATTGCTTTAGACTTCCTTTTCCTTTGACTTCCCACCCACACTGCATAATTGTCAGTCCTACATTTCTTCTTTCACAATCTCTCACATAATGCTGCTCCTATTTTAAATTCCCACTGCCAGCACCTCACTTCTAGTTATGTGATTCTACACCAGTTTTCTTCCCACTCTTAACTCTCCATAATCCCTGATCAAGATAAATAATGCCAATTGTCTCCAGTGACTTGAACCAAATCCAAACTATTATGTTGTAAGAATTTCAAAGCAGGTGGCATGGTGGTTAAGGAAGCTAGATTTCACAGGGCTGACTGGGTAGTTCCTGTTCCAGGCCTCGAGGATTGAAAAACACACCAGGCTCGGGGCTCAAAATCCAAGAGGAGAATGGAGAAGGGACTGCGGCATGGCCATCCCTCCTCCTGCCCTACAGCAAGTGCTTTCTCACTTTCCCTGTCTCCAGGGAGGGCACACACCCTAAAGCAAATTAAAAAAATAAAAATAAATAAAAAAGAATTTCCAAGCTTATTACCCCAACCAAAAGAAAACACCCAAACTTCACCCATCACACCCTGAAGTTCTCTACCTAGTGCTGGGAATTCGGCAGACACCAAGTCTGGGGTACCAGACCCATTCTTCCACATATGGGGGGAGGGGGGGTCGGTCAAGGCTGTGTCACTATTGTGTTCCCTACAAAGGACAGCCAGAGACAGACACCAGTCTGGACGCCCTCCATATGTAACCTTTACTCAAGTATAGTTTATTTCTTGTATTGTCTGAGTAGCCATTCACATACCCCTGACAAGATTTAACTTGCCCTAGAGAAGGACATCTTTCTATCGTTTTATGATCACATAGCGCCTCAACCCTTGTAAGCCCGGTGATTATTACAAAAAAGAAAGGAAACTCTCTTGAGATAAAGCTCACATACGTATCTTAAAGGAAGTCTCAGGAACAGTTTTATGGGCCTGCAGAGGCGTTACTTCTCCAGCTGACCACGTTGCACCGGGCAAAAGCCATTCCCTGGCCTCCTGCCTGCCCAAATATATGCCAGAAATAGCAAAGACACAAAAGTACGCGGAGATCCTGGACAGAATCGCGCGCAGTCGAAGAAATTAAGCTTTCTGGGCGACAGGCAGTAGGCGGCTCTCGGCCTACATCTGAGGCCTGGGCGCGCCCGCAGGAAGCTCTCCAGCCCGCGAACGCGCTAAGGCCTGAGGCTGAAACCCCAGGCGGACGACGAGCCCCTCTCACCTGCAACAACATCCGACCGAGGGGGCCGCAGCCCCGGGCACCGCCTCGCAGAAGTGCCGCCATGGACATGGTCGCTTAGCACAGAGCAGCAGCGTCAAGGTCGGACACAGCCAAGAACACGCCCTGCGACGTCCCGCGACTGCAGACCCCTCAACCTGGAGTGACGCCTC